GGTTCGGGAAGAAGAACACTCACACAATCACTAGACTTTACATAGGGAGTAATTGTCACTACGCATTAAGGGATCTTGAGTAAAATGATAATCAACTTTGATGCATAGAAAATTTCAGAAGAATTAGGTTGGAATGAATTTCGTATCATCTATATCCTTTTCCTTTCGAAATACAAACATAGGAATCATTGAAATGTCTCTTTGATTGAAAGAGTATTAGTTATTTCATACATTACTCCACTAGAATCCAATGGAATTTGGAAATGAAGATATTTTTATTTGAAAAAAAATTAAAACTCGTTAGGAGATGACACATCAACACCTACTTTATAAAGTAGAATGCGAGCCTAGAACATCTCACATGCAATATAAGTCATGTCACAAAATTCGGCCTCCACATATCATGCCTTTATATTTTGTTTTTTTTCTCGTTAACTAACAAGAGTACTAACAACAAATGTACAATAATAAGTACACTATCTATAAATACAATTGTGCATCCAAATAACATCAGAAAAGTGTGTAACAATTGGGGATAATGGTGGGCGCAGTCTATGGCACAATGCCTCTTTCAAATACCAAAAGAATACATGCAGCTTTCCAGTAAGGCTTACAAGTATAATGCATTTATCGGCTAACAATACCACATACATAAGTTGAGGGCAGGTATCTGTACGATAAATTAGCTAACCAAGCAATTTTCGATAACACCCCATTTCCTTAAAAACTTCTTCACTTGTATCATCCAACTTAACTGTGAAATCCATAGGGTGCTAACTCGGCTTTACCATGGGTATTAGTTCTAGAAAGTAATTCTAACACATACTTTCACTGGTAAAAATAGATACCTTCTTTGATAGGGCATCCCCAACACCAAAAAATAGTAAAGTAGACACAAATTTTACGTGGAATTGCTTTCCCAAATGTCTTCTAAAGTAGGCGATGCCATCTCATCAACATTCACAATGAGAATAATGATACTTGTGAAGGAACAACGTGTGAACACAGAATGCTTAGACGTAGCCTGCTGAAAACCATACTAAAGCAGAAGGGTGCATAATTTATTAAACCATGCACACCATGATTGTTTCAGGCTATGCAATGCTTTCTGCAAATGACATATTAATTGTTCATTCCCAAAATCAAATTTCCAGTTGGTCAAATAATATATATTCATATAGTTCCTTAATAGATACCCCAGGAAAAACTCATTCTTTATCCCAGCAGATGTAAAGGTCAATCAAAAGTCACTTCATTAGAAAGAAAAACCTTAACAAAGTTATGTTATATATAGTGTCATTTTGCGGGGATATATGTGTTAGTGTAATGAATAATACTATGATCAGCCTAAAATCTACTCATAAATGATCGAGCATACTCAAGAGCACATCATGACGAAATACTATAATACGTTATTAAATTGAACCATATTCTTATTTAGAAATCTCAAGTGATAACCAAGTAAAATGTGAGAAGTCACCAACAAAGAACCCTAAATCTTAAAAACCAAAAAATGTTTTTATTCATGTAGGAACCCAAATGTCAAAACGAGCAAAAGATTAAAAGGACTCGACTAATGACATTGTGATCTAAGAAAAACAGAATTATGGTGATACTTGTGTGATTGACAAGCTTCATATTTTAACAAAGAGAAATGATTCAAGGAATACTTTGATGTAGGTTTTGAAATGAAGGATGACCTGGTTGAGAATGTCATTGCTGGGAGACGAGGTATCACCCAAAGTAAGAACAAAATCTCTGGGATCCAAGTAGTAAAGATCATTGTGCTCATATTCCAAACCAGTCTACTTCTACTTGATGTACTAAAAAGACGAAGAATAGGCCATTGAATACAATTAAGACTTAGTTAACTTAGAGATAACGAGGTATAAGAAAAATAGGGAATAAATAAACCAAGAATTGAAGGCATGAACTAAGTAGATGGAGTTCACCGCCCACACATTTAGCCCCCCAAAAAAAGAACCATCATGAAAAGTAGAAAACATGGATAAAATAGCAAATATGTGAGCACTAACTTCCTAATCAATGATCCAAGAGGATGAATAAAATTGGTTAACTATATATGCAGAATATCCTTTATTGGCTAAACTAGCAGTAGAGGTTGGATGAATTGATTGAGTAGAGAAGTAAGGCCATCATGAGAATACAAGATCATTACAAGATGTCCAATGGATTATGGAGAAAGAAGTATCATTAGAATCAGATTATCATTTGTTGGTGTCCCCTATTTATCATAACAATAATCCTCAATATATTTTGTGTCACCAACATAAGTACACTACCACTCACTTAGAACTATTATCACGACTCATACAACCACTATGTCCTCCCCGACCAATACCTCGATAACTACAACTACCACATTGGGTTGGATTATATCCACCGCCATAAAACTACGAGAACACCACGATTACTATGCCTAGATATTGAGGCATATACTCTCGTGTAGGTGAAGAAGCCCTTGATTATGAGAAGCATACTAATGATAAGGAGTAAGTGTTAGCAGTAGTTGGAACAGTCTCACTAGCCAAACTTTGATCTTTGAACACACTGTACTTAGAGTTAAGGCTTGACAAATAAAAATCAATCTGAAACTCTTCAAATTGAGGGCATTGGTTGGTAGAGTGCAAGTTCTTCTCATAGACCTTTCAAAATGTCACAATGTTCAGAAAGAGATTTATCATCTTGTTTGGTAGAAAATACATGCACATCTCCTCAAAAAGGCCCATGTCTTCTTGGTTATGTCAAGGAGATGGTTCCACCCTAAGCCAACCAAGTTATCATTAAATGCATCTGGCTCGACCAAATTTTTAGAATTTTTTAGGTTTGAAGGAGGGATTCCAGATAAATACATGACTTCTTCTTTGCATTCTAAAAAGCTTTAATAACATGAGACTAGGAATAGTAGTTGTCATCGTTCGTTTCCTCTTTAAAACAAATCCGATATTCCACCAGCAATCTATGACCACACCCAACCACTGGGGGTTGAAACACACTCAAGTAAAACCACAAATTACCCCAAACATAGTATACAAGCAAAGAAAGGTCAAAAAGAAGTTTGAATTGTAGTTGCATTCACATTCGAGAGTGAGATGACCACTCCCTCAAGTAAGAATCATGTACAAATTTGCCAATCAATTAAGTCAATCCAAATAATCTTCCCAAGGCTTAGTTGCATCACATAGGTAGGAATTGAAACATCTAAATAACTCAAATTGTTCAAAAATGATGAAGCCAAATTATACATTGGTTTTTTTTTTAAAAAAGTATCTAAAATTGAGGACTGATCAATTGGCTTCAAAAAATTAGACAAAAAACCACCATAATTATGGGATGAGGAGACTACCCTAGGTATGCGTTTTGGTTTGCTGGGAATTACTGATGTCAACTTACTAACAATGACGTTAGGAAGGAAAAAAAATTATTTGGTTTCCATCGAAATGACTGAAACGTTGTGGTTTCCATAGAATCAAAAAATGAGACAGTTATTGAGTATCAAAAAATGCCTATGTTTCAAGGTATTTTCATACTGTTTTGAGGTGTTTTAGTATGTTTTAAAAAATGCTTCGAGAATAAATTTTCAAAATTTTTATGTTTCCATTTTGTCTCTGTTATCGAGCCAGTCGATACAATTTATTGAAACGAAGTGTTGGTCCTTGGACGTCAGCGACTATACAAGCATTGTCTTTTCCCTAGAGGTCTTATGTTGATTTTTTTATGGTGTCTTGCCCTCGATCGATGCTTTGATATCATGTTAAAACTTGCAATAGTTAAGTGGTAAGGTTTGTGAAAAAAGAAAGTGGAAAACAGAGAGTTAAAATAATCTACCGTGTATAGGCAATGACTTTTGGCAAGGATGACTCCATAACCTCCGGGGTGTATCAAAAGTAGACAACTAGACTAGGCCCATTGAAGACATAGGAACGTTATTTCTTCTTATCTTTCGCTTTTGCTTCCTCAATTTGCTATTGAGTTCTCATCTTGTGGTATTTATTGTTGATGATTTTGTTATTTGTACCTAAATTTAATTAGGTCCACATACTTTGGAGTTGTATATTAGAGAGAGAATATGTGGTGGAAAGATGGATTGATTTTCTAACTTTTTTGTTTCTTTTTGTTTTTCTAATAAGCATGAGTATAGAATCCAATATGCGAACATAATGTCACATTCACATATCAAATTGAAGATTCTGCTAGGCAAGAAGTTGGGCCTTGGTGCAGCGGTAAAGTTTTGCCATTGTGACCTAAACATCAACGGTTTAAGTCGTAGAAACAGATTTTTCGCTCGGGGGTGAGACTGCACACATCTGAACCTCCGTAGACCCCACAGAGGTGGGTGTCCTGTACACTTGGCCACCCTTTTTACTAGGTCGGCTGGTGGCAAGGATGAAGTTAGCCTTGATGAGGGGAACTTGAATATTTGTTTGTGAAAGATATTTTATTTGGATTGTAAATTTTTAATGTTAATTAATTAGTTTATGTAGTTGTGTTTTGTAAATCCGATTGTTTAGGAATGAGTAGAATTTTATATTACTTTTTACGATCTTGTTATTCTTACATGATATATGTGCCTGATGTTAACAAGTTGATTATTTGTTTCCACAAGAAATGGCTTTTTTTAAGTTCTATATAAACATAATGTGTGTGCCATTTCATGACCTTTTAATGGATCTTGTAAACTTCCATGCCATTTATTACTTTCTACTGGGCTAAGTTCAAATCAAACATAAAATATTATCAACCCATTGCTGGTCAAGGTGAGTTAGATGAGACCCAGTTAGTCTATGATTTCATCAATACTAGTCCCAGCACCCCAAAGATGGGTTTGATAAGCGTCCTACATCTGATCTGAGGGCATGCTTTATGGAGGATGCATTGGTGCAGTAGCCATGTCAAGTTGTTGGGATGGACAGAGATTTTGTACTACATTTAATTACTAATAAGAATTGTTTGTTTAACTCTATCAGCTGCTCTACCTGATGGAATCTTCTGTGCTTATTTGTCTTTCATTCCACTTTCTTTGGTATTGTTTCATCTGGATTGTGTTGCTAATCCACTTCCCATTTCCATACTTGGAAATATAGGTATTTTATTGTCAAAAGTTGCAACCGTGAGAATTTAGAATTATCGGTACAACAAGGAGTGTGGGCAACTCAACGGAGCAATGAGGCTAAACTGAATGAAGCTTTTGATTCTGTGGAAAATGTTATTTTGATCTTTTCAGTCAATCGGACCCGACATTTTCAGGTGGTCTTAAGATTTATTTAGCCTGTACATTCTGCAAATTATGTTTTTTTGCAAATCGATGTTCCACATTGCTTACTGGATTTTAAGACAACTCCGTTATCTTAGACAAAGCTTCACATTTGCATTGGATGTGGTCTTCCATATGATTTTGTGGCTTTTGGGTTAATAATGTAAATTTGTTTATGATTCTAGGGTTGTGCAAAGATGACAACTAGAATTGGTGGCTCTATTGGTGGGGGGAATTGGAAGTATGCACATGGAAGTGCACATTATGGGCGAAATTTCTCATTAAAGTGGTTGAAGGTACATTATCTTGTTTTACAGATTTGAATAAAGGATTACATATGCGAATGTTAATGGAGTTCATTTTGCTTTTATTCTTTTCTTTCACAGGGAATATAATTTGGTGGTCGATAAATTGCATTTCTAGTAGTTTTGGTCATAATATGACACGAGAATATGAGTGCTTGTTCATGTCAAGAGGGCTCTGATGTACATATTTATGGAGTATGGATTTGCTTTTTGCAGTTTCACTTTTTCATTCTCTTTATAAGGTTTAGTTTTAAGAGTCAACATTTTGTGCATTTTAAGTCATTTTTTTGCTTTTTATGAGGAGGAGTTCTGGTTTGATATCCATATTACCTTATGCCTAGTTGTATCGAATTGTTGAAAGATTCTGCTGTTTTATGGAACTGGATCTGTGAAATCTGCATTGTCATCTTTCTTTATTCTATAGTTCAGTTCAACTAAGCCTTGTCCTGCCTATTTGTGATTGGCTACATTTCTTTACACACAGCGGTAATTAATAAGAAATGGTTGTCTTATTCATTGCCCGTTTGTTTTCTTTGTTTACTTTTATATAGCTTTAATGTCTACAATCCGACATTAAAGATGGAGATTTTCTGGCATAGAGAAAAGAATAGTAGGAATTGAAAAGAATTTTGAAGGGTAAACAATGGCTGCTAGGACCAATAATGTAATTCGAATTCTTCTAGCTAGGAGCAGTCCCAAAATCTCATGTACAAACAACCCTCCAAGTTGGCATGTTTTCTGGAAATATTGACCAATTATTATATCTACTATGCACTACATCTTTGTGTAGTGCTGCATAGATAGATCCATCCCCCCCCCCAAAAAAAAAAAAAAATAAACCCCTCCTTTTTTTTCCAAAAAATTCTCTGAATTTCTTTCCATAATTTTCCTACTTGAATTGAAATGTCTACTATTTTGGCTGCAGTTTTTTGTATGCTCACTGTAGTTTGATGGCTCTGCCTTTGGCACTGACAGTTGGTTCATCAGTGGTAAATTCTCACCTCTAACGTCTCTAGAGTCCTGAATACCACCTATTTATTAGCTGTGTATGATCTTAACTTCTCAAACGAGAGCATTTTCCCTCGTAGGTTCTGCAATAACATCCTTTGCTTAAACCTTCCAGTTGTGAGTCATTTGTCTAATAATCTTCTGCTTTAGGATTTCCCTCTTAGATTAGTTGACCTTTCAGGAAGTTATGATGTCCTATTTGTCTTCCTACATTTTTTTTCCCTCAAATATCTGTATCAGCTTCTCCGGGCTTCAAAATTGTGGGTGAGTTGCGGTATATTTGGGTATATATCGACAGTGGTGCTTCCATAAATAACTAATTAGGGTTGACTTGCGTTATTCTAGAGTTTATGTATATATTGATCAGTGGTGCTTCTATAATTAACTCGTGAGATGTGAAATAAAAAGGCTAATTGGTAATTTCATTTCGGAGCATGTTTAAGGCCATGCTTATCTTTTTTGGGATGAGATTAAGCCTTATTTATTTTTAATTTAAATTTGTATGCTTGCAGTATTGTTATGTCTACATCATGTTAAGTTTTTAGAGTCAATATTTTTACGTAGTTTCGGACTTTCAGTAATTACTATATATGGGTTATAGTTGTGACCCAATTGGTCTTGTGTTGATCAAGTTATGTATGTGGGTCTTTCTAGTTGGAGTTCAGCCAAAGTTTATTAAGTGATGTGGCTCATAGAATTAAAATAGGATACCTTACGGGAGAAGTGCTTAATGCATATTGTGTGATTAACAGATAATAGGGAAAATTAGGTGTATTATAGTGGGCCTATATAAAGTGGCTTTGCTTTACAAGGGTCGAATGTCGGGCAATTGGGAAACTTATTTTCGTAAAATGAGTTTAGCTTAGATGAGAATGCTATTATTGATATGGTGTAAGACAAGAAAATATAATATAATGAGTACATCTGTCAGACTCTAAAGGTAGTATCAATACAAGATCAATTGAGAGAAGATTGATTAATAGGTAGAGTAACCCTTCAAGTATATAAGCTAACCTTGGGTGTACTTTATCTTTCAATGTGGTATACAATCTCTCTTCACACCCTCGAGCTAATAAACCGAACTGAAACAAGCAACATGCAGACAAGTAGACTGGAGTTGAATCAAAATAAATAGACAAACATACCATGGAATTGAGATGGGTGAAGTTAGCTTACTAACCACAGCACCTTGCACTTTGATACCATATTAGAGCATCCAATTCAAAACTAATCAGTAATGGTTGGAGTGTACCGCACATATAAATCAACCTTGGGTTATTTAATCTTCCGATGTGGGTTACAATCTCTTTTCACAGTTTGGATGTTTATAATGAAGACCAATAAGTGCACAAGTGAGAGAGAGTGACATGAGCACTATTAGAGCTTCCCCTACATCAATAAAATAATATCTCCCATACCAGTATATGAACCTTGTGTGCCTCCCCAACCTTTGTCACATGGATTTGAGGTTGATGCCTCTGACCTGGTATCAGAGTTGGGACAGTCATCGCTAAGACTTAGTTTCATCAATTCCAGAATTGACTCCCCATTTGTCCTTGTCATAGGTGCACTTGTTATGTCTTTGTTTTTTTTTTGTTTTTTTTTCCTGATTCTTCTGGTCATCTCGTCACGTTGTGGAATAGGGGTCGCACTTGTGGATTAGAGTTAGGGTTTTTCCCACATCAACAAATTACATCCCCCAAATTATTATGTCCTTTGTGGGCCTCTCCTTGTCTTGTCAATTAATTTTGAGATGAATGCTTTAACGATCACCATTTATGGATTATTAGGGGAATGGAAGATGGAAATTAACATGGAGTGTGGTACTTGAAACAGTGTTCTCCTATAATTTAACTACACATATGACTCTTGATACAGTAGAATGGTGGAAAAGGAGTTATGTAGTCGATCCCAAATAATTGGAACAATATTTGATTTGGTTTAGTTTATATGGTTTAGTAGTCAAAGTCTGTAGTCTTTACTTGCTCGCTAAAATTACTTGCCCTCCAAATTCGACTTGCCCTTGTTCAAGTTCGTCTCTCTCTCTCTCTCTCTCTCTCTATATATATATATATATATATATATATATGTATATGTATATGTATATATATACCTACATACATAGATTGACAGATATATGCATGTGTGTGTGATTTAATAGTTTGTTTTGAGTTATTAAATATGTGTATTTTATTTCTGATGTGTTGTGTCTTCCTACTTGAGGGTTGATCATATTATGCAACCTTAACATAGTTCCTGAACTGAGTTCTAGAGGTTCCTGGACCATTCTTACTCTTGTTCTCCTCCTTTGCTCCTTTCCTTATTTTACTGTTACATGTAAGGTGTTACTGTTTGCATGCCCTGAACAACCTCCCTTTTAGTGCCATAACTACACCGAATGTAGACCAATTTAGTCGTAATCTACCTGAACAACCTCCCTGTTGTCTGGAAATTCTTGCATCTCATTGTTGCAATCTTGGCAATCTGACCCTTCTAAATCAAGTCTGCTGTCGCCCGCTCTCATCCTGAAGCCTACCTCTACTCTTGTACCTCTTGGCACCATAAACCATTTACTTTTTTCAACAAAGACATAAAAAATCCTACTTTTGCTGTTACGTGGTGATTTCATAAGGATGTCGTAGGATTTTAATTGTCAATTGGAGAAGATGAAACATTGAAGTTGGAAGATGATGTATCATTGCAGCTATTGTTTGGTATAGATGTTGGTGGAATATATAGCCAGGGGTGTTCGGTTGAAATTTTTATAAGCATCCAGCAAAGTCTAAACTGAAGGAAAAAAATTCCTTCGTCCTGAAACTACTTAGGATATTGTATTTGAGTGAAATTGTTGAGAGTGGCGAGGATGGTGATGGTGTCACATAAAACTGACTGATATTGGTGATAAAACATGATATTACTACTAGTGAAGAAAGAAATGATGGATGTAGTGTTGGTAGCAAAGCTGATATGGGGTTTCAGTGCGGCATCAATTATGGTGGAAATGGCAGGAACAGTGGTTATGGTGCTAGCACTAGCAGTAAGGTAATTTTCTGTCGAAGACAAGGTGCTTAAGGTATTGGTGGTGGTGACAGTGACTTGGTCATAATGTGGTATTGATAATGAATAATGACAACAGGTGAGAATGTCTTTTACTAAGCAGAATCCCTTGTCAAGCTGCCTCTTTAGACACAACTGGATAGTATCTCAAAGACAGATTTTGGTCGTGACATCAGATTTTTGAAAATTGTGCCCTTTTTCATCCCTTAAATGTAATGAACTTTAAAGCAGGACCGCTTATAAATAACTGTCTCCATGTCGGGCACTCAGGGAAGAGACACATGCATGTGGTACATCTTGGTTGACCCTTCTTGGACACTGTAACATACAACTGGTGGTTTCTGATGAATGGAACCTGCATTGTGCCTGTACAGTTACTATTACAGGAACAATATTTTACGGGACAGAGTACTGCATTTGATTTATTACTTTGTCACTGCTGACATAAAGTATACCTGAGCAAGTCCTCTTAATGTTCACAGCAATTTAGAAAGAGAATAACACAAGTATTTCATGTTCATAATGCTACTTTTACAGCTTAATTTAATGGCATTTATGTATTTCAGGCACCAATGTTGATCAAGCATAGTTCAGTGATTCAGTTTCTTCTTTCATTAATCTGTTTGATTGAAAGAACACTTTCTCAAATAGAAAAGAAAAAGAATAACAAGCAAAAATATATTCTTGATGTGTTACTATGGATTTTGGGTCTAGCCTTTGCAAATTGAATCAAATGTTTATTCTAGCAGACCGCATATATCATACAGGCCTTAAAAGTTTTCTGTTGATACTTTTTTTATGTGTTGCTAAGTAATAGAATTTTTGTTATGAAAGTTAATTGCAGTTATCTTGTATGCAGCTATGTGAATTGTCCTTCCATAAAACACGCTATTTGAGGAATCCATACAATGAGAACTTACCAGTGAAGGTTGGTAGTCAGTTTTTGTTTCTATTATCTGGCAGTGTTAATTTCATCCTATTGTTATTGTTCTTTACACCATTTGTTTCTGTATTTTCGACCTAGA